CTGATCTGTATGATCAAGAGATGGGTGTCCCTCAGGGCAGTATTTTATCTGTTACATTATTTAGTCTTAAAATCAACAGCCTTGTTGAAGTTTTAAAAAGTAATATTGAAGGTTCATTGTATGTTGATGACTTTTTAATATGTTATAGAGGCAAAAATATGAATAACATAGAAAGACAATTACAGTTATGTCTTGGAAGAATTGAAAAATGGGCCTCGGAAAATGGGTTTAAATTTTCCACTTCAAAAACGGTCGGGGTGCATTTTTGTAACAAAAGGCAATTGCATCTTGATCCAGAACTCACTTTGTACGGCAACCCAATTAAAATGGTTGATGAAACCAAATTTCTTGGGTTAATTTTCGATAAAAAGTTAACCTTTCTACCCCATATCAAAATGTTAAAATCGAAATGTTTAAAAGCATTAGATATTTTAAAAGTTGTCGGCAGCACCGACTGGGGTGCTGATCGCAACATTTTACTTAATTTATATAGATCTCTAGTTAGATCTAAACTAGATTATGGCTCTATAGTGTATAGCTCTGCAAGGAAGTCCTACATACAGATTCTCGATGCTGTGCATCATCAGGGTTTGCGTCTCTGTCTTGGCGCATTTAAAACCTCACCAGTTGAGAGTCTGTATGTAGAGGCTGATGAGCACTCACTCTCTAACAGACGTTTGAAGCTTGGACTTCAATATGCTGTCAAACTAAAAGCCTACTCAGATAATCCTGCCTACAGCTGTGTTTTTAATCCAATTTATGAAGATATTTTTGCAAAACATGAAAATAAAATTCCTCCGTTAGGTATACGTTTAAAATCACATTTAGCTTCTTTTGATTTAAAATCTGTTGCTCAAGTTGAAACTTGCAAATGTCCTCCATGGGAACTTCCCAAACCAAAAATGATATTTGATCTCCGTGAACACAATAAAAATAAAACAAATCCTCTTTTAATTCAGCAACACTATGCTGAAATCAAAGCCAATTATTCAGATTTTTCAACTGTCTATACTGATGGATCAAACGATGGTGACAGAGTTGCATCTGCTGCTGTCTTCAGGGACAGAGCTGCAACTCTCCGTTTGCCATCTGATGCATCGATCTTTACTGCTGAAGCAGAAGCAATAATTTTGGCTTTGAAATTTATTGCTTCTTCAGATAAATCCAAATTTATTATATGTTCTGATTCACTTTCATGCTTACAAGCTATACAAAATACTAAAAATTAAAAACCCAACAATTCTCAAAATTTTATATGTAATGAGGAATTTAAAAATTCTTCTTAAAGAAATATTATTTCTATGGGTGCCGAGTCATGTTGGAATCCTTGGAAACACAGCTGTAGACCTTGAGGCAAAGAATGCCCTGGGTGACCCTTTATCTAACTGTGATATACCATATACCGATTTTAAATCTAATATTAGAGAATATGTTTTTAATATATTGAAAAATGAATGGAGTAAAAAAGATGGTAATAAATTGCATGAAATTAAACCTAATTTATGTAAACCTTTCAATAATTTTATGTGCAGAAAAGATCAGTGTGTTATTTCTAGATGTCGTATTGGTCATACTAGAATAACACACGAATATCTTTTAAAAAATGAAGTAGAACCACAATGTATACCTTGTAACTGCAAGTATACTATTAAACATGTTTTAATCAATTGTATTGACTTTGCTGATATTCGGAAGAAGCATTTCAATGTCAATAATATGTATGATTTATTTAATAATATTCCATTTACAAATATTGTTTCATTCTGTTAGGTGTAATACCACCAAATCATAGTACGTAACATCCGGTTGCATACAAAAATAGGTCGAAAAAAAATATTCCCTTGCATTTGACAGTTGTAGGTAATTGATCCTACATTTCATTGCAGTAAAACATTTCTGGGTCATAAACATATATCTTGGGTATTTCAAAGCACAGTTATTTTTTTATTTGGGGTTTCTATAGAATATTTTGGAAACTTGAGGTTACATGGTTACTAAAGCTTGTACACAGGTTAAAAAAGGGGGAAAATTTGATTGGTTAACTTCCAGTGATGGTTATTTTCTTATATGCAATGAAATGATATGTGAAATTTTTTCTATAGTACTGGACAGGATAAAACTTTACTCATGCCAAGTATTTCTTTATTTGAAACAAAGATAAATTCTGCACAATTTTTTGAAAAGTGCAAATTTAACAAAGACTAATAGGGGAAAATCAATGGTGGTATTACACCTAATATGGGAAGCTGTACATGCACCTTTGACCTTGTGAGTACTCTCATGTGTTAAAATTTCTTGCTATTTAAGTGAAATATTACAAATAATGAAATATTCTGAGTGGATTGAGTCTCCAAAACACATTTTATGAGAAAATTTCCTTGAAATAGGACTTTACCATGAATATTAGTTGACAGAACAAGCCATACTTAGAGTTTTGGGGAGCTTTTTCTCCTTATTTCTTATATTCTGCTATACTAGAAAATTTTTCCTAAGAAATACTTTAATAAATATATAGTTTTAAGTAAATGAAATTATTTTTAAAGCAGTAACAACAAATTATTCACCAAAAGAGAAGCTTTTTATGTCCCACTCTGGAACACGGCGTAAATTTAAGTTTTACGTAAGGACTTATTGAAACCTCCTTGGAGACAGTAAACTTTTATACGGATAGTTCATTCAGCTTAAATACTTCAATTAATCATTTATTATAACATTTCTATCATAAATGAGTGAAAGTTACCCCAAATTTTTTTATTTATTGGCCTAAAAAGTAGAAATTTTGAGGAAATGAGAGGTATAAATGGACCAAAAGAGACCTTATAAGGCAGAAAAAGAGGTCCATTAGTAGTATTTATCATCCTAAAGTCTTCTATTGTATCATATTCAACTGTTTGTAGGCAGATGAGATAAATATTTGATCATTTATTGGTCCACACTATATTCTATCATGATGCGGCTTGGTTTGGATTTTTCGAAGAAATTTTGCTCGAATCGCTGTAGATGTCGTCTTACATTATACTAGATTTTTCTCAAACTGTTGAACTGATTATGACAAAACTTGACAGGAATGCTTGAAATAACCAGTATTACAAAGGAAAAAAGTCACATTCAGTTTATTTAACAAAACAGTCTTCTTTAGGTGTAATACCACCAAATCATAGTACGTAACATCCGGTTGCATACAAAAATAGGTCGAAAAAAAATATTCCCTTGCATTTGACAGTTGTAGGTTATTGATCCTACATTTCATTGCAGTAAAACATTTCTGGGTCATAAACATATATCTTGGGTATTTCAAAGCACAATTATTTTTTTATTTGGGGTTTCTATAGAATATTTTGGAAACTTGAGGTTACATGGTTACTAAAGCTTGTACACAGGTTAAAAAAGGGGGAAAATTTGATTGGTTAACTTCCAGTGATGGTTATTTTCTTATATGCAATGAAATGTTATGTGAAATTTTTTCTATGGTACTGGACAGGATAAAACTTTACTCATGCCAAGTATTTCTTTATTTGAAACAAAGATAAATTCTGCACAATTTTTTGAAAAGTGCAAATTTAACAAAGACTAATAGGGGAAAATCAATGGTGGTATTACACCTTAAAGAAATTGGAATATATTATAAAATATAAAAATGTTGTTATATTTAAAACGATTTTAATTTTTATCACGTTATCTTAGTGTTGATTTTTATTTGTAAATAATCAATTTGCTTTAGTCTAGAATTTTAGTTTATTGAAAGACCTTTTGTCTGATTTTAAAAATATACCTTAAATTGTTATAATATTCGAATTAGCTCTCGCCGCGATATAGCCTTTCTGTGCTAATGCGGCGTAAAGCAAACAACAATCAATCATTTTTTTGTTTGTTTATTAGGCATATAATGTATGTTATGTAAAAAAAAATCGTTTCTATTCGTGATCAAGAAAGTCTTATCCCTGATTAATGAGACTTTATATATATGAGGTAAATATACATTAGCATCATGTCGGTAGCACATGAGCTCCTTATCGCTCGATTTTTATGTCAGTGTGAGTCTTACTTATTCATGTTATTATGGTTTTATCTTCCTCCCTTCAAAGGGTGTCTGGGGAATATAAGTATTATCACCATATGATTAGGATGTTCATTAAAACGATTTACATTGACAGAGGTAAAAAGGGTCGGCGCAGATGTAAATAAATAACACTACTGAGAAATATGTTTAAACCAATCTACTACAGGTGGTCCGGAAGTAAAATAATAAAATATACACTGTACAGAAAGTTTTATCTAGCACTAATTGTATTTTTTGATTGTTGATATTCACCCCATATGTACCAAGTGTTAGATTAGTTTTATTGATATTAAAGAAATTTCTTGGTATTCCTAAACGGAAGATTTTATACACACAGAAGAAGAAGTATATATAACAACAACATTATTTTCATTTACCTGTGTATAATATGACGCAGGTTTCTTCAAAAGTGATGATTTTCTATAAATTGTTTGAAATTTCACAGTGATAACATACTCTAACTTTGTTTAAACCTGTTTATTTACTTTTGACTTTATTATTTATCCCTTGTAATTTTTTATTAACTGTGTATTTGCATTCAGGTGTCACAGGTCAAATTTATTTGTTCATTGTGTGTTAATTTACGTTTTTTGATTGAGTTAAGCCTTCCAATTGATATTTTATAGTGTGTTTTTCTATGTTGTGATGTTATACTATTGTTTCAGAAAAGGGAGAAGGTTTGGTACCATTAAAACGTTTAATCCCGCTGCAAATGTTTGTACCTGTGCTAAGTCAGGAATCTGATCACAGTAGTTGTCGTCTGTTTATGTAGTTCATACGTGTTTCTCGTTTCTCGTTTTTATATAGATTAGACCGTTGGTTTTTCCGTTTGAATGGTTTTACACTAGTAATTTTTCGGGGCCCTTTATAGCTTGCTGTTCGGTGTGAGCCAAAGTATCTAAATGAATCAGCAATACACTTGGTAATGTTTCTATCTTAGGCAATAGAAAACCTGGACGGTGTCCAGTCGTTCCACCGGATTCCATCGGTCCGTGTGTTGACTTACCAATATGTAATGTAGATAGTGATTGTTACGGTGTTCAGAAGTGTTGTCCAAATGGTTGTGGACATGAATGCTTTTTTCCAGGTAAGGTATACATTTTAGTTTTATCATTATCACCGTTGTTCATTTCGATGTAAAAATACAATTTACCAAAAGGCAAATTGTAAAACAAATTGTGAATCTTACAGAAATATAAGAAAACTATATTGTGAACATGTAAATGAATATGAAAAGTAAAATCACAAAAATACTGAACTCCGAGGAAAATTCGGGAAGTCCTCAATCAAATAGCAAAATCATTTGCTCAAACACTTCAAACGAACGGACACAAACTGTCATATTCCTGACTTGGTACATGCATTTTCGCAAGTAGAAAATGGTGGATTAAACCTGGTTTCATAGCTAGCTAAACCTCTCGATATAAAGTTATTTGACACTAATCAAAATTGTATTTAAGTTATTAATTTGAAATCAATAGTGATCTTAATGCATCTGTCCAATTTATTAAATTCTTAGTCGATCCAAAGCCTGGTACCTGTCCTGTTCTTCCACCTGGTAGCGGCGGTACGTGTGCTGAGCACTGCAGTGTAGACAGTGATTGTCGGGATGTACAGAAGTGTTGTTCTAACGGTTGTGGACATGATTGTTTCTTCCCAGGTACGTCATACATATGATAACAAAATAACTAGATACTATATGTGTCTAATTCCATCTCTTTCGACTTTTTAAAATACGGATCCTTGTCCATTGATTTGATTCTGAGCACAGGTTTTTCTTTTTTTCTATTCATTTCTGCCACTTTTTCTCCTGATGTGCAAGGAATAATTTCGTTGTGACGTTTAACAACAATTCATCTTTTTTAAAATGTGTCCCAAGATCAGAGTAACGTTTAACACGTTTTACGATTCAAATATTACACAATTGTTTCCTGAATCAATATTTCTTTCTTAGTCACTGGTAAGCCTGGTACCTGTCCAACACTTCCATCTGATACTGCTGGGACATGTGTTGATCTTTGCAGTGTGGACAGCGATTGTTTAGGTGACCAGAAGTGTTGTTCTCATGGTTGTGGACACAGTTGTTCCTCCCCAGGTAAGACACGTATATGAACAAAAGCAGTGACCCAAAGCATTGTCAAATTATAAAGGTATGCTGATGATACTGATGTTGTAACACAACCAGATTGAAGGTACTCTGATTAGGCTTTGATCTTTAATATTGTAGACACATTGTTGTTTCAATAATTTTGTAGACATATTGATGTTTCAATAATACTGTCTTATGCTTTAATACAAAGAGAGTGTTTGATTTGGAAAAGAACACAGATTATGAACCTTATGATCATATCATAGTTGTATATTTTAAATATATTTGTTTTAAACATTATGGAGGAGAAAATGGTGACAAACTTTTGATATTTTGATGATATGAGTGTGTCGCTCCAAAGAGAATGGCAATATGGTCACCAATGATATTCCTCCTACCGACATTAAAACCCTCGCCAAAGTTTGGAGTCCGTGTTATCGTTTGAGATGTACAAGTTCGTATCCACTTTATAAGGACGTTAAATATGATGCCTTGTAAAAACAGAGTGCCACATACAAGGCTAATGACACTTCCACAACACAAGGCAGCAGATTCCATCGGCTGCGCTTTTAACGATCACGATCACGTACAGATAACCCCACACTACACTTAAGCAAAGGAACCATAATTCCGTATTGCAATCAGTCCTTTAGGTTACACTTTGTAAATACAGCTGTTTCTCAAACCACGCCCTTTTGGGGAGATATATAATATTCATAGATAATTAATTTTGTTAACGTACTGGTTCCCAGTTATGATCCCTATGATTCCTTTCGTAGAGATAACACATGGGAATATTACCAGTAAATATGCATATGTATATCAGTCATATTGAAATCTGTGGAAATCCTCAAGTCAAGGTAGGGCTAGTACAGAATTTTAGTGTAAGTTTAAACTCTTAGAAGTTCGGGGCATATACACGTTGTAAATATGCCGCACAGCTCTATATTTTGACCTTTGAAAAAAATAGTAGTGCATATGAACTTTCTATTCTAGGATATAATTTTTCAAAACTTCATAGTAAAAGTGGTACAGTTTTAGCCGTAAAAGGAGTTCCTAAGGGAAATTGCATGGTGGATAATTTGTCAAAATGAAGTGTTTATCATGCTTTGTTTTAAAATATAATAAAAAGTATAGGGCACTGGACTTTTTTGCACACTACAGGTTGTGAAAATTTGTCAGATTGTGCATGTAATATCTAATTTTGTGTGATAAAAAGAAAACCACACCATAGAATTTTAAGATAAAATGTGAGACTAATTTTCTGTATTAATATGAAAAGTCTTACACATGAATTACATACTATTCTCAAAATATGTTCATTTCATTGAACATCTAGCCCAATTGATATCTGCTACTTCAAAATCCAAGATGGAAGAAGACACTCGAGTCACTTTAACACGATTGTTGATATGACTGCTAATGTTGAAAGTGTGGCTTGTATATCTCCTTTACAAAATTTGAAGTCATGCTTTTGTATTGTTCACTTGGCATCTTAACTGTGTTGTTTATCCGTATGTAAATAGGCTTAAGTGAGAAAAAAAAATAGTGAACGATACATCAATAGTAACAAATAGATATAAGAAGATGTGGTATGAGTGCCAATGAGACAACTCTCCATCCAAGTCAAAATTTATAAAAGTAAACAATTATAGGTCAAAGTACGGTCTTCAACACGGAGCAAGACTTAATTAAAGCACGCAACGTGGGTACCTCTTCTTTTTCATTCAACACAGTTGAACTTTTCACAAGTAACCTACAATCTTCCTTCTGTACGAAATCTGTCTAGAACAACGTTAAAAGTAAACCCCCCTTTTTCATATGGAAAACAATGCCTCACTATTTACACAAAGAACATACCATTAAGTCTCTACGCATGTTCTTTTTAAAGACATTTTACTACATTAAAAGTGAAACGTATGTCTCGACCTATGATATTTGGTGTCGGACGTAGAATTTATTTTTTGTCACGTAGTGGTGTCATTTTAGATATATTTTTTAACATTGCCATACAAGCGGGAGGTTTGGCTAGACTAAATAACAGGTTCAACCCACACTTCTTTCTTAAAATATTCTGTACCAAGTTAGGAATATGGCAGTTGTTATCAAATAGTTCGTTTCTATATATTTTGGCGTTTGTTTTTGTTGCACGTTAGTGTTCCTCTGTTCCTTTGTTTTCCTCTTATGGTTGATCTGTTTCCCTCGGTTACAGTTTGTAACCCAGTTTGTTTTCTCTCAATCGATTTATGACTTTTGAACAGCGGTATACTACTGTTGCCCTTATTTATCTTATTTTGTAGTTTGAATCATCTTTTTATTCATGAAATATAATTTGATAAAATATTTCATGCGTATTTTGTTTCTGTCATCTTTCAATAAGTGCAAATCTCCATCATAAGTTTACTACTAGTGAATATTTTAGGGTATTCCAACAATAACTTATCATTTTAGTAAGTTCCTGTCCGCCTGAACCAAAATGTCCAATACCACCAAGAGGTCCTCCAGGAACATGCAAACCGCCGTGCATATTTGAGTACAAGGTTATCAATGGACTTCGATGTAGAGTAAAGTGTTTTCTTGGTCCCCCGGGGCCACGAGGACCACCTTGTCCGCCAACCGGGGTAAGATTCTACTATGATTTCATATTTCATATTTGACCATGTAACTATGGTACCTTAATCACTTAAACCACTAGAATTAGATAATTCAGTCGTAAGATGAGTATCAATTCTGTATGGTTAGAATATCCATGGTGGTGTATTATTCTCCTTTGAATTAAAGTTGTTCATGGAAGAATAGTAGTTCTGAATTTTTAAATTATAACTTATCGAAACATTGTCATCAATTACTCACACAGAAATGAAAACGTACAATATTGTGGTGATACAAATTTAATAGTAAAAATGTATGACACTTGGTATGAAACTTTGCTTTTACAATTGTGTTTGTCACTGTTGGCTTCCTTCCTTGGACCATTGAAAAATGATTTTGGACTAGTCTTCAAATATCATAAATTGAATATTATTTTTGTTTTAAGGATTGATTTAGTTCGTTCATAGTGTCTATTACAATGAAAAATTCGAAATCATTATTTATAAGTACACATTTTATTATTAAATCCGCTAAATCACATAGGATAGAACAACATTCATATATTCTTGCAACAATAGAGTGAAATAAGTCTTCAAAATTAAATATTTAAAATATCCATGCAGCAATCATATAAGACAAACTAATATGCTACTTTTAGAGACCGTGACATATTGATAATAGCACTGTATCATTTTCCAGATCATTCCAATATATAATTATTGATGGTATTAGTGTACAGTTTGGTGTTGACCAAGCATAACATGAAGTAAACGCACGTTAACACTTCGTGTATATCTTTGATTTGTTTACCCCAAATTTCGCTGCAATTGCGTTAACGTGGTCAAAAAGAAAATTATAAATGTATAACCGAATAAACGCACGTTTACTATGTGTCTGTTTAGCCAAAAGTAAACGGGTGTTTACTACATGTTTTACATCTTTACCTGTCCGTTCACTAAGAAAACAAGCTTTTACTATTCCCGTCAACCTTTTGTGGAAAAATTATAAATCAAATTTTGTTCTGCCTTACTCTTCAATACTAAATGATAAACGAATGAAGTATCGGTAAAAAGTATTTACAGAAATTATTATTTAGTAAATACTGCAAAAATATCAAATATAAGTTTTTTTTTGTAAACAACAATATGCATTACGGTAGACTTAGCTAGGTAATGTTTCAAGACTTGAAATAAAACATACGACATCAAATAATCGATAAAATTTGTTTTCAGTATATACACTAATTTCAAAATATTTGCCGTAGTTCATGGTTAAATGAATCTAAAAATGATTTTGATGATCGACATTTATATATACAATGAATCATTTAAATTCTATCAAATCTGTTCTTCGCTGCAGACATACATGTGTAATCTCAGTCTTATTTAACTTTATATGTACTTGTATACAATAATTGTAGTGTCCCAGTGTAGGACAACCAGAGCCGGCAGCTCAACAAGGTTCCTCTGGAACACTATTAGGAGGTAAGATTTATAAACCAGTAAAACAATGTATTCAAGGTCAAATTACTTAAACAAATTTGAAAGGTGTCATCATACAAAAATACAAATCGAAAAGTCATTGAGACGAAAAAAGATTAACAATATAATTAGTGTTGTACTAGAAAAAAGTAAAATAAAAAAGGTACCAATATAGTAAAACAAAAAAAAGATGTGTTGTATATGTTGTAGTACCTTTTATTAATTTAACAGTTGACACATGCAGTTGACATTTCAGTCAAACCAACACTTTTTCTCATATCTTTATTCCGCACTTTTCTTTCTAAATACAATACGTACTTGTTTCCTGTTAATTTCATTTTCATAGGAGTCACGTTCCGTGAGCTTGTCTATGTTTCAGCGAGTTTGCAAGAAAAAGTATCAGATTTCATTGAATGCTATATGTCTTCACTTACTTAAAAATACTTTAAACCCAGAGAAAAATAGACAAGAGAAACTTAGTTCTAAGTGTAAATACCTCTATATGAATTTAATATAATAGGAACCACAGAAGTTTTTTTTTTGATAAACAATGAGAATGATTAACAATAAAAGTGTCAATATAGAATATAAAATTTCTCCATATTTGTTTGGATTTATGGAGAAAGTTACAATATTTTTTTACAAATTATTTGAACAATCTTCTGAAAATTTTGCCTAGAAACTAATTAGTTTTAGAGATTTTAGATTAAGAGTTAAGAAGTAAACCGCCTCGTGTTTCTTAGTTTTTACTATTCCGTGTGGTTAGTTTTTTTCGACCGTATGTCGTCTTTTTAAATTGACAGTGTTTTTTTTTAATTACGATTTGATATTTCCAAACATTACTACTGCCATCCGATATTCGTTAATAAACATTCTATTGAACGAGTAATAAACAACTGCATCATTTTTTTTTTTGAAATGACTGAACATATTTTATTTTGTAATTAAGGAGAACGTCCGAAACCGGGTACATGCCCAGTGTTCCCGCCAGGTTCAGGAGGAACTTGTGTTGAAAAGTGCCGTACAGATTCAGATTGTCCCTGGATACTTAAATGCTGTTCTAGTGGTTGTGGACATATTTGTCACATTCCGGGTAAGTTATAGGTTTTAAATAAAACGTAATTTTACAAGGACTTGTATCCTATATTAAACTGCAACTTTCAAAACTTTGAATACGCAGATCAGACAAGACAAGAAAAATATCCAACAAATCAGCACCACATATATTTCTTCATTTTAAATTACGTGTCTATTTGTCAGCGAAAATCATGCATGAAACATGATTGTACTGAGAAAAAGAATTTCGTTGTTTGTCAATGCAGGTAGTTTTAATTGTCATATTATTTATTCATAACATGCCTTGTTTTGTTGACTTCACAGTATGGGTTTGCTTATTGTAGAAAACCCTACGGTGACTACTAGTTGATAAGCTCCAAGTCATTTAGGATCAGTTGCTTAGTGTGTTATTTGAAATCACACCAATCTCCTTATTGTATATGCTTATCAGATAGTCATTGTACAAGGTACATTCACCCTGTGTTATTGAAAAATTTGAAATGGATATACTTATAAATTACAAGTTATCTTTACAATTGGATTCATTGTATGGACGGTAAAACTAAATTTAGCTTTGAAATAAGCTAAAAAAGGAAACTGAACAATTAGGCTTTACGTGTATTTTGTGCAATAGTTAAAAAAAATAGAAATAAAAAAAATAATGGAACTTATGTTTACACTAAAAGATAAAGAACATCCGATCTCTCTCTCTTGTTTTTTCTCATGCGACTTACTTATTTTTTGTTGTTTTGTCTCATATATTCAACATGTTGTTATTAGATCTGATCATATGTAAAAGTATTGCCTCAATTTTAATTCCGTGCAAACTGCAGTTTCTCTTAAATGTTTCTTTGTCTATCCGTCCAGCGTTGTACCGTTTCAATATGCAAAAATCCCGAAACTCACATGCAATTAATATTTGAGTCTGAACGGTCATATTGGTCCGAGCAGTTCTTTAAAGACTTTACCATAAATAATTACAAAACTTTTAGACATCCATAGCGGGAATTTAGTATTCTTCATACCATTTCCATGCAGTCCATTGAAGGTTTTTATTAAATTAGTAGACCAACACATATACTTAATATTCTGAAACCCCCAAGCGTGACTGGGGAATAGAATTATGATAATCAAAGGTCTTCTTTCGACCGGTAGTAAAACCATTGCAAAAGTTGGGTGTCCGTTTGGCTGTGCGGGGTGCATCAAGTACACAGCCACTTAAAGCTTTTGAAGTTGGTCCTAAAAAGACTGATTTTCTGGTTTGTAAACATTTATGAAAACGAATAAGTTCACAAGTCGCGAGAAATCCCCAAAAGTTAATTGTATTTGCACAATTTCAAGAAGTGTAAGGATTTAGGTTCAATGATGAATTATTTGATTACACAGATGAGTTACCAATTTTCAAAATCGTCTACCCCGGAAAAATTACACATAATAATGCTAAGCAGGGTTTTCTTTGGTTTTATTTATGACAGAACATCAGAACATTACTGTGTGTATAATTTAGTAAACACACTGTTTTTAATGTATTTTTCAGCAACGACACCTACTTGTGCGCCTATTTGTGAAAAACCATGTCCATTTGGTTTTGTGCTAGATGAAAACAACTGCCCTATTTGTGAATGTAAAACAGGTAACACATTATATGTGTAATTTATACCTATCAATAATGAAACTTCAATTTTGGCCGAGTGGTCTAAGTAGTTACTACTGTAATCACTAGCCAGTTAACACTAAGGTTGTGAGTTCGATCCCCTCTCGTGTAGGTGCACTCGACTGCAATCTTAATTTACTAGGGTTGTCATTGTAAGAGTACAAATGTGCATCCCACCTGATCGTTTTTGTATGTGCCTGTGTGAAAATACACATCTGATTATAGAATTTAAAGACTTATTTTCCATTCGAAACACAATGAAAAGTGTTCATTTCGACAAATTTGAAAACAAGAATTCGATACACAATGATAAGGTTACTTTTAAAGACAAGTGTTCAGTAGTAGAAATTTGCATAAACAAATTAGAATAGAATATTAAAAATAAGTATGTATTTTTTTTTCAAGGGTGTTACGGAAATGTAGAGCCTTTGTCATCATCATTAAACTGCGCTAAGGGACCACGTTGTCCATCTAGTTACCATTGTGCTAATACTCCTGAAGGGACCTTTGGAGTATGTTGTCCAATTGGTAGGTCTTTTGAAATTAAATATGTACTCGGTCTATAAATGCGGTAAAAGTTAAAAGATATTAAAATGACCAATCAAATGCCTTTGGTAGACTATGGTCTACGAACAATGACATAAGCAAACAATAGCTCAAAAAGCAGAGGTGTGTTTTGCAGTGTGGATATATAAATACTCATCTTAAGAGGATTGAGATGGTAAATATATGCTTCGAGTACTAAATCTTATACCCTATTTAAAATATAGTGCAACAGCTCTCCTATGTGGTATGACACCACGTCTAACCTGGCCTTTCCCTCCATACAAATCAGATTTCAAATCCTTCCTTTTTTGGCTTAAATCAACCAAATAAAGTAGTGGTTGATTCATTATTATGCCTTAATACCTATGCAGTGTTTCTGTTATTAGTGTCATGTGCCTAAAATGTGTGTAACCTAACAATACACAACAAAAAGAAATCCTAGGAGGCAACCATTTAATTTCAAGGTCTGTGTGCGGGGGGAGGGAGGGGATATAGGTTTTTGTCTAAATCAGAATTATGGTTTTCGCACATAGGCCTTATAAGGTATGGGGGAAATCTGGATTCAGAATATTTTTTTTGTTATCTGCTTGACCATTATATTTATTTCATGAAATTGTGGATCAGAATATTTTTTGTCCGTTTTCTAACAGTATGTATATACTGGTGAGTTGTACCTCTATGAGATGAAACATAACTGGGAACCAGTTAATAGACAAAACATATATCTAGGCATATTCGATATTTCAAAAAAAAAAAAGGATTTGTTTATATGTACGAGTGTACGATGGACTAGGCCAGCAGTTTAATTTGACACAATGAACTTTTGGATATTGGAATTTGGCCAATTTACTTTGGTTGTTTGATTTTGCAAAATTGGCTATCTTAACCACTGTTAACGATTAACGCAGAAACACGTTTTTCGCAACAAAAAAAATTAAATGTGTTTTATGGATTGTTCTATATGAATAACTTGACTTATTTATAAAATCTGACATTTAGTGCCAATCTGCTCATGTCCTCTTTACAAACTTCAACTTGTCCTTTTGCTGTCCTCAAATTGTTGTCTGTGAACATATGTTTATACCCCACTCAACCCATTAAAACTTTATCGCATTAGGTTTGTTATTGTTTATTAAAATATTTCAATGCTAATGTAAATAAAGGCAACAGTAGTATACCGCTGTTCGAAATTCATAAATCGATTGAGAAAAAAACAAATCTCGTTTACAAACTAAAACTGAGGGAAACACATCAAATATAAGAGGAGAACTACGATACAACAGAAACACAACATTAAAATGTAACACACTCAGAAACGAACTATAATATAACAATGATCATTTTTTCTGACTTGGTACAGGACATTTTAAGAAATAAATGGTGGGTTGAACCTGGTTTTATGGCTAGGCAAACCTCCCGCTTTTATGGCAATGTTCAATATAACATTACAATGACAACATAACATGACAGGACTACAATACAAATAAATGGGAGAACATATAGGACAGAGAAACATACGAATAATAGCTAACAAAAGGTACCAGATTTAAAATTTAATACGCAAGACGCTCGTTTCATCCACACAAGACTAATCAGTGACGCTCAGATCAAAAAAGTACGAAAGCCAAAAACAAGTACAAAGTTGAAGAGCATTGAGGACCAAAAGTTCCAAAAAGTTGTGTCAAATACGGCTAAGGTTATAAGTCTGGGTTAAGAAAATCCTTAGTATTTAGAATAATTCTTACTTTTGGAAACAGTAAATTTATAAAAATGACTATATAATAGATATACATAGAT